TGTCTGGCTTCTGTACTAATACTATGGGTGAAGCCCAAGAGCTAATCGATGGAACAATGATACCTAGGTCCAACATTTCTTTAATCTCCCTTTCAATACATTCATTGGGTCTCCCTGTGACCCTGTAGGGTGGACATACTATAGGAGCTACATCACCGGTGTTTATTTGATGCTGGACTCCCTGGACCTTTCCTGGTAAATCTGAAAATATATCTTTATATTTACTCAAAATTTCCACAACCTCTCTTCGCTGTGGTTGGGACAATTCACTGTTTATTTCTACCCGATCCAAATTTTTGTATTGTTCACGATCACCCTCCCAAAAAGAAAAGGGACCGGATTCTTCTTCCGAAACAACAAAATAAACATTAGCAGACCTTCTAACATAAGGCTTTAACATGTTTACATGAACTCTTCTTTCCACATTTGAATGTTCATCATAAATATCATAGTTTATTTGATTGTGTTTCCTGGTGATCTTCCAGGGTCCCGACCAATCTAATTGCAGTTTGTTGGTTTTGTTGGGAGATAAAAACAAAACTTCATCTCCGATGTTGAAGATCTTTGGCTTAGCAGTAGAATCATAATAGTCTTTTTGTCTTTGCTGAGCTGCAAGCAAATGTTCTTGTGCAATGTCCCTAGCCAGTTGCATTGTTGATTGAAGATCCTTTAGGTACTCCGACACTGGAACTGGATCTGTTGCTGGATTTTCCTCCTAGTATTCCTTTATCAGGTCTAATGGACCATGAGCTTTCCTTCCATATAGCAATTCAAGCGGACTGTAGCCAGTACTGTCATGAGGGACGGTCCTGTAGGTGAATAACAGTTGTTGTACTTTGACGTCCCAGTCGTATGGCTTCTTTTGACTGTAAGACTTTATCATTTTGACTAAAGTCTTGTTCAGATTTTCAACTAGTCCATTTGTCTGTGGGTGATAAGCTGTTGAAGTCAGGTGTCTGATTCCACATAACTCAAGCAATTTTGACATAAGTCTGGAAGTAAATTGAGTTCCCAAATCAGAAACCAATTCTCTAGGATAACCAGTTCTTCCCCAAATGGATAACAGTGCATTTGCAATCGTTGTTGTCTCAATGTTAGTTAGAGCTACAGCCTCTGGATATCTTGTGGCGTAGTCAATCATGGTTAGAATGTATCTGTAACCACGTCTGCTTGGCTTACAAAGAGGACCAACTATGTCAATGCCCACTCTGTAAAATGGTTCTGCAATTACCGGCATAGGGATCATAGGAGCTTTAATTTTATCCCTTCCAGTACTCAATCTTTGGCAGATATCACAAGACTGGCAAAACTCTTTGATCTTCTGGAACATGCCAGGCCAATAAAAGTTTTTAGTGATCCTCTTTGTGGTTTTCCTCACGCCCAGATGACCACCGTGAGGGTTCTCGTGTGTCGCCCTCATCAGCTGTTCTCTAAAACTTTGAGGCACTACAATCTGATTACATGTCATTGATCCTTCTGTTGACTTCATGTTTCTGGTTTCTCTATACAAGACACCATTCTTTAACACAAACTTGGAGGGCTGCCCTTTTGCTGATACTGTGAGGTTTTGAGCCAAAGCGAACAAAGGTTTTAGAAATTCATCTGCTCTTTGTTCCTGTTGAATTTCTCTGACTCCTCCTGTCTTCTTAATAAGCTCAGCAACCATAGTGCTGGATTCTGGATTCTCATCCCCCTCCTGTTGTATGGCGAAACACATGGCTTTTTGATCAGGGCTTTTGCTGTTATATTCTTCCTCCTCACACATCATTCTCCACTTTCCAATCTTTTTAGCCAGATCATTTCCAATTAAACACCTGTATGGTATGTCTGGACTGACTGCAAAATCCCACATACCCTTCCAACCTCCATATTCTATTGGCAAAGACACTACTGCTGTTGGTATTGCAGGTCCCAAGCCTTTTAATCTTATTTCAGAGGTAGGATGCTGAAATTTCTGAGGTATTATATCTGGATGTATAATACACACATCAGATCCTGTGTCCCGCCACCCTCTCATGTCTTTGTTGTCAATGGAAATGGATTCTAAGTAATCCTCAGTTGCGGTGTTTGACAAAATGAACAAACATTGTTTCTCTTGAGGCACCGTTTCCGAACTCTCCTTTGACACAGTATTTGGTTCTGTTTTCTTTGTTTCTTTTACTTTATTAACGAAGAGGGTTGTCTTTTCTTTTCTTAAAAGGGGACATTGATACCTTATATGATCCCACTTTCCACACTGAAAACACCTAATTTTTCCCTCAGGAGCAGTTTGACTTGTTACACTCTGCCTCCTCCAGGAGGGGTTTTCTATTGCAGGACCTTTTCCTTGTTGTGGGCGCGTTTGATGTTGGTAAAATGGCTGCCTGTTTGTCCTTTTATCATTTGGCAGATCTTCCCTTTTGAATCCTTCTTTTAGGGTAATTAATTGATCTACCATAACCGCTGCCTCTACTACAGTGGATGGCTTTCGATCCTGTACCAGCCACCGAAAATCGGAAGGTATCAATTGGAAAAATTGTTCCAATTTTAAAAGTTCTCTCAGTTGTTGGTAATTTTCCACCTCAGACGTCCTTAGCCAACTATCGAACAGTTGAGACAATCTAGAGGCCACCTGAGCGAAACTTTGGTTCTTATCTCTTTTCAGAGTCCTGAACTTGAATCTGTAAAATTCAGGTGTTAATTGAAATTTCTGTTGAACCTGTCTCTTAAATAAATCATAATCCCCATAGGACTCCTCAGGCATTTCTCCATATATTTCTAAGAGCTTTCCACTTATTTGAGGCCTTAAGTACGTCATCCATTTTTCCTCAGCAACTCCAAAATCTTTACAACATCGCTCAAACAAGGTTAGAAACTTCTCTATATCGTCATCCTTAGTAAATTTAGGAAATACTAGGTTCTTGTAGGTTTTTTCGAGCTATAGGGCCATGTTCTAGAGGCATTTCTCCTGACGTTTCGCCTGCATCTATGGCAAGCATCCTCAGAGGAAGTGAGGGGGGGTGGTGGGCTAATTTTTTGCTTTTGCAGTTCAATTTCCATTCTCCTCAATTCTATCTCCTGTTCTCTCTCTTTTTGTCTTTCCTCAAACTCTCTTTCCCTTTGTTTTGCCTCTATTTCCAATCGTTTCATCTCTAGTCTGTGCCATTTCTGACACAGACACTGGCTCTGTTTCTGCTTCAGAGCCCAAACTTCCTTCTTGGTCTCCCATTGTTTCCTCAACAAGTTTTTTCTGTCATCTGGTAGCCATATTTCAATAACTTTTACCTCACAAATTATTCTCAAAGTAGTCTTAAGGCACTCAATCAGTTGTTAATCGTATCCCGTCGTCTGCCACCAATTTGAAAAGAAGCAGGGGAGCTGGGGGATGATTTATTGTTGCCACCAATTTGAAAGGAACCAGTATTCAGGAGATTTTTCCCCAGTTCCCAATTTTAAAAAGACTTAGCCGACTTGCAATGGAGGTTGCCGATTAGGAACCAAATTTACCATCAAGTTAGAAGGGAGGCTGTTCAATTGCACCTCCTCCTTTATTAAGAAAGTAATAACTTAGTAATAATTACACTGTATATACTGTAGCGTGACTGGAGAGAAGAATGTAGATTTATTTGGTTACTTTTCCCTACGTTTCTGCCACCACGTGAGGTAAGTTGTAATATTGTGAGAAATTGCACTTTGGACTCAGAATAGACGGAGCTGAGGCAATCTTTAAATAAAAGTTAACAATTTTATTAAGTACACAGCGTGTGGTTGCAAGATGTAACTTTTCCTTGTTGCACTTG